CCCCTGGGGGGTGATTTCTCGCTTTCTGTCTCTATGTCTCTCTCTGTCTGTCTGGCGAGCGCACGCGCCCTACAGTGAAAATCTCTCCAAAAAAAAAAAAAAAAAGAAAAGATTTTTGCAGTTTTACTGCTTACAGTGTGTGAATATATATATATATAGGGGCAAGTTAATAAAGTTTATCTGTAAACTGATTTGCTTCTCAGGAGGCAGAAAGAGCTCCAGTAATATTTGACTGGAAGTTTCAGTTTCTAATCAATCATCCTCTTTACTTTGTATGAAGGGACTTCAAAAGGTTCATGGAAAAATGGAATTAAAATGTGTATTTATTTTGGTGCAAAACTTTTGAAATTTATGCAAAGTTCTCTTTTATAAAAGACATTTTCCCATGAACTGTTTGAAGACCCCATCCTGTAGTAGGAATCCGAGACCCTGGCGCTGGGGCGGGGGAGACGTGGTTTTACCAAGGGCACAGTTGAGTCATGAGTGCCCAGTGATGGCCTGAGGCTTGGCCTGGAAAAGGGTGACTGCAGGTCTAGTGGGCGGCCTCTTACTGCGCAAACTCCATTCCCTGCCTTTGGAGCGGCTCCGGCTGCAGGGCTAACCTAGCTTTTTCTTTTTTTGTTTCTTTCTCTCTCTCTCTCTCTCTCTCTTTTTTTCTCTTTACTTTGTATGAAGGGACTTCAAAAGGTTCATGGAAAAATGGAATTAAAATGTGTATTTATTTTGGTGCAAAACTTTTGAAATTTATGCAAAGTTCTCTTTTATAAAAGACATTTTCCCATGAACTGTTTGAAGACCCCATCCTGTAGTAGGAATCCGAGACCCTGGCGCTGGGGCGGGGGAGACGTGGTTTTACCAAGGGCACAGTTGAGTCATGAGTGCCCAGTGATGGCCTGAGGCTTGGCCTGGAAAAGGGTGACTGCAGGTCTAGTGGGCGGCCTCTTACTGCGCAAACTCCATTCCCTGCCTTTGGAGCGGCTCCGGCTGCAGGGCTAACCTAGCTTTTTCTTTTTTTGTTTCTTTCTCTCTCTCTCTCTCTCTTTTTTCTAAGCAGCAGACTGGGAGACTGTCCCCAGGGGCTGCACAGATGTCTATCCAGGCCTGAAAGTGAGCCAGCCGGTCACCAAATACCTACCGGAGGGGAGTGGACGTGAATCCAGCACCCAGCCCCAGGGAGCATAGCCAAGCACGCAGATAAATCACGAACGCGAACAGCACTGAGACTGGCACCGAGTGCCAAAATACCGAGACAGACACTCAAGTTCCAGGAAACGAAATCCGATCCGGGAGAGGCGGCTGCGTTGCCAAGGGAGGGGGCCACCAACCTTGATTGAGCTTCCTCTCAGGGAGAGCACTTCGAGCACTTCCCAAGTCCTTCTGGCCACCTGCCTGCCCAAGGAGATACAGGCATCTCCAGTGCACAGGTGGGACGACCAAGGCTCCGGCAATTCCCGGAGCTATGGAAGGACTGAGCGGGACGCCAAGGCCGGTGGTCGACGCTACACGCTTGCTCCCTCCTCTCTCCCACCTACAGGCGAGTAGGGATCAGGAGTGACCCCTGCCCATCACAAAGCAGACGCGTCCCCCGTTTCCCTGTGGCCGCTTTGCGCGCGTGCAAACCCGGCGGGGTGCGGGACGCCGGGCGTGGGGGTGGGGAAGCGCTGCGGCGGAATCCCTGGCCGAGCGACCCGCGGGGACCTTCCGGAGGCGCGGAGCCCGGCCCTCTACCGGCGCCCGCCCTGATTGGCGCTCGCCGCCGGCCTCTAGCCGGCTCACCTGCCACTCCCAACCCATCGGGGCCACCAGAATTGGGGCT